GTAGCACATGTAGTCCAAAAAATATTTGACCTAGAGTCATAAGATTGACAGAACAGTGGCGTGTTGGAGCACCCGTGTCCTATGGACTCATTTCTAGTTGTTTTTTTTTGTGTTTTTTTTTACCGCTGCCCCATTGGAGCCTCAGTGAAAAAAAATCACTGATATATACAAGGTATCAGGCTATATCAGGCTATATAACAAATGCTCATTGAAAGTGTACTGAGTATAATGGGTTAGTAAGTTCTAAACCATGCGATAATATAATATAACATAACATATATTTTATTCAACATAAAATTGTATACATGCAATTTATAGTCATACAGATACAATACTGTATGGTGTAAAGTGTTACAGTTAGCCGAGAAGTATTGTTGGCGAGTATTAACAATTGTTATGACATATCTAACAAAGTTTGTATAAAAATACTTATAAGAAACAAATGTACTTAAACAAGGTATAAAAAAATATTTGTTCACGTTGCCGAGAAATATTGTTATCAAGTTTAAACAAAGGTTAAGAGTTTGCATAACAATACTAATATATGTATGAAACAAAGTAGAACGATATTTGTTAACGTTGAATTATATCACACGGCAATTATAATGTTTCTAACATGACATAGCCGTCATAAATGTACTAAGCATTTGTTGTCGAAGTTATCTCCCTTTTACCAGCAATCGATAATAAACTTTAAGTTTTTCTTTGTTGTTACTAGCAGTACAGTTTTTTCATTGATTCATATAGGAAATAAACTCAACTGCTATATAGCAGTTGAGTTTTTTTTATCGACCCTTGTATATATCAGTGCAGTTTTTTTCACTGAGGCTCCAATGGCAGCGCGGTAACGGAACATTACAAAACTATAAGCATATATTATCTTTCATTAGTTCACTTTGGATCACATTATAAATTCGCCATGATACAGGTAATTATAGCTCAGGAATAAATTAATCTGAATACTGAACGCAGTAACCTATAACGGATTCGAGTGTATGGTTAACAGATATCATTGTAATAAAGTACAATTACAAGTAGAATTGCCAGCACATCACCTGCCTTACAAGCCTCGGTGGCAAACATTACTCAACTCATTGTTCCTCTTATTTTTATACTTGAACCATTAAACTTATATTTTCTTATATTTATGATAATACAATCATTTTTCTATCCGGCGACTTGATGCTTTAGCATCAAAACCTCTACTTGTTATTTTATTTAGTTATAAACTATTTCTCCCTGTTTCTTTTGTAAGAATCACGTGACTACACGTTTTACGTTATTGTTATGAAATCTATTAATAGTAACAAATGGCTGATAAGACAGACAAACAGGTAACTTGTGAATGGTTGGCGCAAGGTATAGAAGCTGATAACGTGCAAATCAAAGTAATTTTGTATGAATAATTACAAAATCTCGGTATGACGGTAGGGGGCCGGAATCGTATTGAATACATAGAGAAAACTAATAAACTATCTTTGTGTTGATAGTTTTATCTTATTGAAAGGCAATTAAACGTTAACTATATCGTATGTTACCACAGGAATATTGATTTCAACTAAATTATAATTTTTTTTTCGATAGCGCATAAGAATAATATTTTTATGCAGACACCAGTTTTACAGTAGAATTGCATTGTTTTATGCAATAATTAAGCATACAGTATATATTTTCATAGTCACTTTGCAAATATTCGATGATCGGTAATTATTTGTCGGTAATTATCAACCATGCGGATTTCAATGTATGGTACAACGGTATATGTATAGAATTACAAGTAGAATTACAAGCATATCACTTGCTTTACAAGCCTTGATGACAAGGTGTTAGATTTTCAGTTAGTTTCAAATTGAAGATAAATTGATTTTTTATGTTTTCTTTTATGATATTTTTTTTTTGTATTTTCAAAACTTGACCATTTATCAAAATTATGAAATAAAAAAGTGCTAGAAATGAAACACACGATTTATCAACTTATGTTTCATATAGTTAAAAGATATAATAAAAATCAATTTATGAAAACTAAAAACAGGCCTACTAGGTTACAACTTCGTCATACCACGGATTTAAATGTAATATAAATCCGTGGTCATACTTACCATAAGGCCATCGAATTGATATATACATGTAATTATACTTACAATAAAATCGTTAACATTAATCATAATAAATTATGAAAACTAAATTAATGAGTCTCGGGTAAATATTGACAAACAATACTTGCTTATTTTATAATGATAACAGTTTCTTGGCAAAATTGCTTAGCAAGTTTGCTTCAAATATGATGTTTTATTATAACATAACATAAAACTCTTTTACAAAGTTTAAAGCAAGAATATAATTGTGGCAAGTACATGAAAACGTGTTTATGAATAAACATTACTCAACTTATTGTTCCTCTTTTCTTTATACTCGAACCATTAAACTGACACTTTCTTTTATTTATGATAATACAATCATATTTATATCCGGCGACTTGATGCTTTAGCATCAAAAACTCTTCTTGTTTCTCATTTGTAGAGTTAAATATTAAACAAAAAAAGGTTCATCGGGACACAAATCCCTCTATAAAGAATTCAATTATCCATTTATGATTTGGAGAAGAGATTTTTTTACTTTGCTGTCATAAACATATTTCCTAACATAATATAAGGTTTATATATATATAAAACTGCGGTGTCTTGTTTTATATAATCTTAGTTGTTCTGTTTATTTACGGATTCTTGATGATAACATTAAGGTAATTGCAAATTGAATCGTACAGATAAGCCCCTAATGACCAGGCAGATTTTATCAAACATGTATTGACTCAATTATAAAGATCTTTTACCATAGTATTTGAGATAAACTAATGCCTAGCCAAACTCTGTACATGTATACATGTACTTTATGAATTTTAATTTGTACTTCAAGTACTACCAGCACATAATAGTTGCGCAATAAAAATGTCATAGAAAACAGAGAAAGAATGAATTTTCTTATTTATTTCAAAATTTTAATACAGACTAAACTTTAATACTTCTTTATGATATTGTTTTTGTTATCCTTTTATTTATTAAAATACAATCTACCAATATATATACAGAATAAGAAAAATATAATACATAAGACAGACTATTACATTTTGTCCATGATTGCACTATGGGTCCATTAAAATTAGCAAGTATACATGCTACTGTCCATAACTGATTGACAGAACCAACAAGAGATAATGAAAAAGGTGTGTCAAACAGATGATACTCTTTAATTCTTCGGTTAATTCTTTTGGTTTGGCTACTTGCTCAGTCTCTTGCCACTGCTTCTAGCGTAAATTTGCTTTTTTTTTTACAAATGCTGGAATATTCAATGACACTTCCCTTTCTGAAAGTATCTTACATAATGTAAACTCTTTATCACCCATCACATCATCACCATTTTCAATAAGTTCAAGGAGATCACAACATCTGACAGGCATCCAGTATATACACAAATGTTATAATATTATGGGGTTCTATACCAAGCAAACGTGTGCATGTTCCTTTGTAATTTCAATACAAACTTCAGTTGCAGGGTCTTTACATTTTTTTAGTCTTGTCCAGTTCAAGCCTCAGCCTTTAAATATCATTTTCTTCCTGTGTTTCTATAGACCCATAAGATGTAGATGGTTGGCAATTGGTACTTGATGCACTATCTTCTTCATCTTCATTATGGACAATGCTGAAATATATATATTATACCATAACATATTATTCATTCAGTATCAGTGAGAATTTAAAAGATTTTTGCAAATACCTTTATTAAACAAAAATAAACATTATATTTTATGTATTTAAATGAAATGATGAATATAGGAGTTAAATCAGTGACATTATCATAAAAATTATCTATCATTGAGCATTTTCTTTGGTGAAAGAATTGTTCTCATAAGTGGCCTTCTTGGAGTTGTTTGTTCAACCAAATTAAACACTGATGGAATAGAACCATTTTTTTCAGTCTCTATCTAAGAGGAGTCCAGTTGCATTCCTCAGTTTTAAAATGTTTGGAACACACCACAGTAGATGCAGTACCATAAAATATACAACATACAAATATAATTAGGAATGATATGGTAACTTTTAGTCAGCTTCAATCGTCTATGTGTAACATAAATTTGAACTGATAAAAATTTACAGTAAAGTTTCAATTGCTATAACTGTTAGAGATTAAAAGCAAGCAGTTCTCCTAATATTTTATTCTAAAATTACAAAATCTGTTGTTTTACAAAAACATTTATCTGTTCATATATTGGTCAGTTTACAAATATTATTTTTAGATGCTTACCTTAAACAATGACCCTTGATCCCTTCTTATCTTAGAAAGTTAGTTATCCATTGTTGTTGTTTTTTAATCTTTATCCTTTGGAATATGGTAAATCATACTTACCATCAGAATTGCACATAGGCACACACATATGATAATTAGAGCTCTTTTTATTAACACCAGACATTGTGGCTATATAGTGAGATAAGAGTGGTCAGTGTGTTAACATTCATGCCACTTAAGCCTCGTTCTGGTTCTGGAATTCCAGGTATGCAGGGTCTATAAGACATCTCAAAGTAAGACCGGTGTACACAATGTGCATTTCATTTATTGCAAAATTCTCCAGTTCGTTATTTATTACCATAGCTCGACACTAATGACCGTTTCGTTAAACTAAAACTACTTCTATAAATAGATTTTCGGACTTTCATAATGTTAAGGTCATCATTCTATTTATAGGTACAGCAATACATGATAACCCGCTGTGTACTTCAAAATGATTAATAAAAAAACCCGAAGAGCACGATTAATTGACGGATAAGATAATTTCATTTGATATGTTTGCATTGCGAAATTCTCCAGTTCGCTATTCATTGCGAAATACTCCAGTTTGCTATTCATTGTACATATCTTTGCTCATACCAATCGGAATAATTGGCTATTATGCCCGACGTAAAGGCCCGAGAAGTTGCAATTGCCCTTTTTCATTAACTATAACTTACCGAATACTTTCTTCTTTCGTCATCGTCTACATCATTAAAATTGATCATACACGGTAATATTGCTGTTTTACCCTGTATTATACTGATTTGGATATGTTTTGTTGTTTCCATCACCGGATCCCCCGCTTTAGCAAGCTGTGATACTGAATAAACAAAATAAGACAGATATTACAACAAATATTTAAACAATTTTATATTACGCTTGGACAAAGAAGACCAAATGTTGTTTTGATACAATAAGGTAAATGTTGACATAAATATCTACCAATGTTGGTCTTGGGAATGCTTTTGCTTTTATTTCTATTCAAGATAGACATATTGTTACAATATGTACCACTTACATCCGGTCAAAAGTTTTTGAATAATTATATTTTCTGTATTTTCAATTCGACTTTCGTTTTTTTTTCTGATCACATATACTTTAATCTGTCAACACGTGTGTTTATGTATAACACATTTAACAGACATAAAAATATCATATTTCATAGACGCTTCTTAGGTCTAGTAAGGCAAAACTGCTAAAGACGTGTGAAGTTGGCGGCATAACGGCCTAGCGGTGTCAAATTGGCGGCCCAGCGACCTACCGGCCTGAAGTTTGCGGCTAAGCGGCCTGGCGGCATGAAGTTGGCGGCCTAAAATTTTATGTTGTAGAAATAATAAAAACAATAAAAAAGGCAATAAATGATGTTCAAACGAAAATTCTTTTTATTTGAAGTTAGTTAGAGGATATATGTACAGAAAAAATCATTTTGATAAAACTTTTTTATTTTATCATTTTTGTGAAGTTAGTGGCCTAGCGGCCCAGCGGTCTGCCGGCCTAAAATTTTAATGTTGCAGAATGTTTAACATAAAAACAACAAGAGCCACCACCGGGCGGGGACAACGCTCGACTTTTTACATTTTCTAAAAGCAAACAAAGAAACGGGTTAAACAAATCTTAACGTTTCCTTTTCATAATTTAAATAGGTTTGTCTTGTCACACTTGTTTTGTGGAAGTACGAATCCTTACCATAAATAAATGACAATGTAAAGAAAATATAATCAAAATTCAGAAGAAAAAAAATATATATGCATATGTATTACAGAAAAAAATATATATATTACATGTATATATCTATGCATGCATAGATTTTACAGAAGAAGAAAAAATCCATTCAATAATAGCAAAGTTACAGCCAGTTACAGCCAAAAACAAGAGCACCGCTAGGCGGAGCATTATATGCCCGAAAGTGTTTTTTTTTTTTTTTTTTTTTTTTGGTAAGGATGAAGCATTTGTAAGACATGGGAATTAAATAATTTTATTACGACGGATGGACAGAAAGACGCCAGGGATATAACATAATATAAGCAAATTTTAGGGCATATAATTAATGTACTCAATATAAGCTGTTGATTGATTAATACTTAAGTTATTGAGCGAAAACCGTTTTCAGTGACCTTGACCTTGTGACCCAAAAATTAATAGGGGTCTTCAACTCAATATTGACAATCATCCTATGAAGTTTGAACACTGTGGGCCAAATGGAACTTAAGTTATGCTCCAGAAACCACAATTTTCAGTGTAAAGATCATTGTGACCCTGACCTTTGACCTTATGACCCCAAAATCAATAGGGGTCTTCTACCCAATATGGACAATCATCCTATGAAGTTTGAATAGTGGGGGCCAAATAGAACATAAGTAATGCTCCAGAAACTGTTTTCAGTTTTAAGGTAATAGTGACCTTGACCTTTGACCTTATGACCCCAAAATCAATAGGGGTTTTCTACTTAATATGGACAATCATCCTATGAAGATTGAATATTGTGGGCCAAATGGAACTGAAATTATGCTCCGGAAACTGTTTTCAGTTTTAAGGTAATAGTGACAGTGACATTTGACCTTTTAACCCCTAAATCAATAGGTGTCTTCTACCCAATATAGACAATCATCCTATGAAGTTTAAATTTTGTGGGCCAACTGGAACTTAAGTTATGCTCCGGAAACTGTTTTCAGTTTTACGGTAAAAGTGACCTTGACCTTTGACCTTGTGACCCAAAAAGCATTAGGGGTCTTTTACCCGATATGGACAATCATCTAATGAAGTTTGAATATTGTGGGCCGAATGGGCATATAAAAATGAACATTTCAATAATTTGACCTTCAAAGTCAACGTCATTTATGAGTGAAGGTCAAGGTTTGTCTAGTGATTTCAAAGGGCTATCTTATTCAAGTTTGAAGACAATCCATTCAAAAATAACAAAGTTATAGCCAATAATAGCAAGAAAAAAGGGTTGAGCTAATGAAACCGGCATTTAATGAAGTTCTAAAGACAATTCTTGTTATTTGAAGTTATTTAAAGGATATATAAACAGAAAAAATCCCTTTGAGAATTTTTTTTTATTTTGTCATTTTTGTGAAGTTGGCGGCCCAGTGGCCTAGGGACCTAAAATTTTAATGTTGTAGAAGTTTGTCAAAGAAATTAAAACGACTCTTAATTAAGTTTTAAAGACATATCTTGTCATTTTAAAGTTACATAAAAGAACAAAAATCATATTCAGAAAGTTTTCGTTTCCCTGGGAGTCGGAAATTTTAGTCGTAAAAAATTTATGAAAAAAAAAAAACCCAATAAAAACGGTACTTAATGAAGTTCTTAAGACCATTATTGATATTAAAAAAGAAACAAGATTGCATTTGTGAACAAGGGTGCCATAGTCACAAAATACGCCCGTTTACGAAAGCTTTAGATGGAGATGGGGGCATTATGGATAAGTGTTATCTAGCAAGCAAGTTTTTATTCTTGGCACTGTGTTGTTAAATGAACCTTAAAACAAATCAGTAGGGAAGATATGCACAGGATGTGTGACCTTGACCTTGGTCGCAGGGACCTGGATTTTATGCACGGCACTCAGCCTCACAATGATGAACATTTGTGCCAAATTATATTGAAATCCCTCTATGCATGTAGAAGTTTTGCTCCAGACAAGCGTTTTTCTATGAGCTCTAACTGTGACCTTCACCTTTGACCTAGAGACTTGGTTCATGTGCAGGGCACTATGTCTCATGGTGGTGAACAATTCTATAAAGTAACATTAAAATTCCTCCATGCATGTAGAAAAATATGCTCCGGACAACATCTGGATATTTAATCATCTCCAGTGACCTTGACCTTGCAAATATTAACCTAAATTAAATGTGTCACACCTGTAGTCATGATAGTTACCATTTGTGCTACAATCCATCAATAAATGATGACTAAATGGTCCCTATACACATCTTCAAATTTTTATCTGAACTTTGACCTCTATGTGTTACATTGACTTTGGTCGCAGGGATCTGAATTTTGCGTGTGACACTCAGCCTCACAATGGTGAACATTTATGTCAAGTTATATTGAAATCCCCCTATGAATGTAGAAGTTTTGCTCCGGACAAGCGTTTTTCAATGAGCTCTAAGTGTGACCTTGACCTTTGACCTGGAGACCTGGATCATGCATGGAGCAATACATATCATGGTGGTGAACATTTCCATAAAGTATTATAAAAATTCTTCCATACATGTAGGAGATATGCTCCTGACAAAATCTGGATATTTCACCATCTTTAGTGACCTTGACCTTGCATATATTGACCTAAAGTACATGTGTCACAGCTGTAGTCATGATAATGACCATTTGTGTTACAATCCCTCAATAAATGATGATTAAATCGTCCCTATACACATCTTCATATTTTTATCTAAACTTTGACCTCTATGTGTGACCTTGACCTTGGCCGCAAGGACCTGAATCTTGCGCGCGACACTCCGCCTCACAATGGTGAACATTTGTGCCAAGTAATATTGAAATCCCTCTATACATGTGGAAGTTTTGCTCCGGACAAGCATTTTTCAATGAGCTCCAAGTGTGACCTTGACCTTTGACCTAGAGACCTGGTTCATGTGCGCGACACTGCTCCTCATAGTGGTGAACATTTCTATGAAGTTTCATGAAAATCCCTCCATACATGTAGGAGAGCTGAACTGATATTTACTTGAAAATTAAAATATAATTAAATTTCTATGAGAAAGTATTTACATTTGATAAGGTAATTACTGTATGATCTTTATGAACAAATACCAAGTCTACAGAACACCATAGTTATCACAGTTAAGAATCTTGACCAATGAATGAAACATGTGTAAATAAATGTTACATTCTTTAGAACATACTCAAGTCCAAGAAAGAGGATTATTTTATGCCCTTTGATTAAATTCTATTTTTAGAATTGAAAGTGAAAGTAGATCAAGGGGAGTAATTGTGTAAGTCATTTATGAACAAAGTAATAACTTTGTTGTCGCCCTTTGATTAAATTCTATTTACAAAATCTTGATATTTCATCATCTTTAGTGACCTTGACCTTGTATATATTGACCTAAATTATATGTATCACAGCCATAGTCTTGATAATGACCATTTGTGTTACAATCCCTCAATAAATGATGACTAAATGGTCCATATACACATCTTCATATTTTTATCTGAACTTTGACCTCTATGTGTGACCTTGACCGCAAGGACCTGAATCTTGCACGCGACACTCCGCCTCACAATGGTGAACATTTGTGCCAAGTAATATTGAAATCCCTCTATACATGTGGAAGTTTTGCTCCGGACAAGCATTTTTCAATGAGCTCTAAGTGTGACCTTGACCTTTGACCTAGAGACCTGGTTCATGTGCGCGACACTGCTCCTCATAGTGGTGAACATTTCTATGAAGTTTCATTAAAATCCCTCCATACATGTAGGAGATATGCTCCGGACAAAATTGTACGCCGCCCGCCCGCCCGCCAGGGGCGTTCCCATAATACGTCCCGTTTTTCAAACGGGCGTATAAAAATGCTATGCCACCGCATTAATACAACACTAAATAGTAATGTAGGAACATAATTTTTTTTTGTTTCTATACAATAAATTATTGAAGATTGCCATAATGCATAGATCACTGACCTATCTAATTCTTATTATCAGATTAGTGGTTAAATCTATTGTTATTCAAATAAAAGATCAGAGTAGGAATCTATCAATGCAGTTGAGTCTAGTGAATTTGGTGGTGACGGTCATATTTCATATATCAAAGGACAACACAGTAAGACACTAGGCCAGCTGATATCAAAGTTCACTTTA